TACCAGATGTACAAGACAGATTGTATTGGAGATCTTATTGAAAATATACATTTAGGGGCCTGGCGTGGTAGCCACGTCCTCACCCATGTGGATGCTGGTTCCTGTCCTGGCTGCTCCACTTTCCATCCAGCTCCCTGCTTGTGACCTGGGAAAGCAGTGAAGAATGGCCCAAAGCCAGGGACCCTACACCCATGTGGCAGACCCGAAGACGCTCCTGGCTTCTGGCTTCAGATCAGCTTAGCTCTGGCTATTGCAGCCACTTGGGAAGTGAACCAGCAGACAGATCTTTTTCTGTCTCTGCTTCTCTGTAGAACTACCTTTGCAGTGAAAAATAAATCTTCAGCTTTGTGGTATTTTAGGCTAAACTTCCACCTGTGGTACTGGCATCTGAAATGGTGCCTGTTTGAGCCTGGGCCACTCCACTTTCTATCAAGCTCCCTGCTAAGGTACCTGGGAAAGCAACAGAAAATGGTGCTAGTGCTTAGGCCCCTGCAGCCACAAAGGAGACCCAGATGTAACTCCTGGCTTCAGACTGGCTCAGCTGCAGCCGTGTGCCCATCTGAGGAGTGAATGGACAGAATGGAAGAGCTCTCTCCTTCTCTAACTCAAAATAAATCTTTAAAAATATCTACTAAAGAAAATTGGGCCCGGCACGGTGGCGCAAGTGGTTAAAGGTCCTCGCCTTGCACGCCCGGGATCCCATATGGGCACCAGTTCTAATCCCGGCAGCCCCGCTTCCCTTCCAGCTCCCTGCCTGTGGCCTGGGAAAGCAGTCGAGGATGGCCCAAAGCCTTGGGAACCTGCACCCACGTGGGAGACCCGGAAGAGGCTCCTGGCTTCGGATCGGCATAGTATCGGCCCGTTGTGGTCACTTGGGGAGTGAATCATCGGACGGAAGATCTTTCTCTCTGTCTCTCCTCTCTGTATATCCGCCTTTCCAATAAAAAAATAATAAAAATAAATCTTAAAAAAAAAAAAAAGAAAATACTGTTAGTTCTGAAATAGTCATAGTTAATGTTTTCCAACCATTAGTAGCATAGTATAAAACTTTCTTTTGTTTTTTAGGAATAGAATCTTGTGTATTTTATGTATATATTGTGTATGAATATAAACAGAAAATACTTGACAGGATTTATATTAGATGATACTTTGTTTATATGTATTTTGATGCGATGGGGTGAAGTATAAATGGAAATCTTCATTTACGTAAAATTAGGTATGTGCACTTTTGAATATTTTAAAAGGATAGAAGTGATCCCTTAAAGGCATAGATTTTCTCAAGTGCCACTTACAATCTTGAGGGCAGCGGTTCTCGGATGTCTGTAGGCGAGAGTGGCCTTATACAAAATCTTACCTTAAAATCACTGAGCTGAGGAAGTCTCAGTGCTGTGTGGTGGAAGGGCACAGACTCTTGACTCCTGACCTCAAAAATACTGTCGGGACCACTTCGCTGGGCGAGGTTGCCAGCTTGCTCTACAGTCGGTTCCTAGGGTTCTTTGTCTGCAGTGCCCACATTCGCGTGGCTTTTCATCCAGCGGAGTAAGTTAGTAGCAGCCTTCAGTCTCGCCAGCTTTACAAACTCGGATCTGTGCACATCATGAGAACCGATCTTAAAAACAGTCTGAAGTTGTGACAGCTGTGTGACGATTAAAAGCCCTTTAGTGTTTTAACTGACTATTGTTTAGCATTGCAAATGATTCAGGACAAGAGAAACAAAGAGTCAAATATACAGTATTACTTGTGTGTATCATGCTAGGTTTTCTGTTGTATAAAACCAGCTGGCTTGCGTTTGTATGGTAAAGTGTTTTTTTTTTTTTTTTTTAAAGGACTGGTTTTTAGGCAATAACGAGCTTTCGTCGGAAAAATAATTTCAAGTGCTAAACATTTGTTATGTTGTTATTAGTAATGGTAGTGGTGATATTACTTCGTCTTTCTCACACATTGAGGGTTTCCTGGTGACAGCTGGAGTGTCGGGGAGGGGGAGCCACTTTCAACCAGCTGCTCTGTACAGCATCATGATGGTGATATGTCAAAGCCCAAGGATAATTTTGGCTGAATTGAGAAAAGGAAAGGTATCCGATTTCTGGGATGCAATAGATAGTGTGCAAGCGTCCCTTGGGATCTAGATGGCGGCCTGCTGACGATGTGTGCATTCAGGCTTGCATGTCGGTGTTATTTACCATCTAGTTTTTTGGACACTGTTACATGTGCATCATAATTGCAAAGCAATCAAATCTAGGTCCATGGGGATCGCCCAAGGAGGGGGGTTTATTGCTTTATGAAGAGGAGAATGAAAAGCGAACTTCAGCAATATGCTGCAAGCTTTCCTGTAACCTGTGATTTGATTCAGTGTTCACGAGAACTCCAGGAGGCAAGGGGAATTTTCCCCATCCATATGTGAAGAAAGCCCAGCAGAATTGCGTGCATAATTTGCTCAAGCCTATGTACTTACGTGCTACCACATATTCTTCCAGAAATATTGTCCTTATGCCAACAGCTGTTTCTCCATGGTACTGTTACATATTTTTTTAACCCAAAGTTATGATACTATGATAGTAATGAATGAAATTTTTACACATAGTACAGTGACTTCAAAATCAGTGACTTCAAATCATAGTGTGATTTGTGGCTCTGTTATTTGTGTTTTCCACCTTGTGAGAAAAGTCTCTAGAGCCACCTCGTGAGAGAGGTTGCGTCACCATCTTTTGTTAGTACCAGCAAGTTTGCGTTTCCGTGTACTGTAATGCATAAGTTGCATCTGAATTTGAATAAATGTGGAAGTAGATGTTGTGTGCACTGACCATGTAGTCCCTTTCTTCATGTCGGTTTACCAAAGGGGAATTCCTCTTTTTACTTCAAAGCATAAGGAAACCTGTAGGCTTGTAAATTTGCACCAATTGATGACATAGATAAATGTGTCTTGTTTTCAAGGCAGGTAGAACGAACACACGCACACACACGCACACACATGCACACACGGAGAGCCTGTTTGCTGGTTCCTCAGTGCCCGTAAGGCACCCAGTCACTGGCCTGTCACTGCTGCCTCCCCAGTCCTGTGTTAGCGGGAAGCTAGCTTCAGGAGCCAGAGCCAGGAATTGAACCAAGGTACTCCAGTGAGGAAGGCAGACACCTTAACCCCTGGACCGGACGCTTGCCCTGGTTCTCCTGATTCTGAGGATGTGTTGGTTTTTGTTTTTTTTTTTTCTGTTTCATTTTTTAAAATTTTTCATGATACAGTTCCTTAGGCCCAGGGTTTTACCTAGGATGTGATTTCAAGAATCATTTCATCTTCCTCGTTGCCTACAGGCTAATAGCTATTCTGTGGGTTTCTTTCCCTTCTGTTCCCCTACCTCCTACATTCATTACATATAAAACTTTAAAACAATGTATTTGTGTTTAGCTGTTTCCTGAACATCACATGTACCTTTCCATTCAGGCCTCGTACGGTCCCTCGCGTGGTTGTGTTGCTCTTGGTCTTTCTCTTGCTCTCTCTAGGCTACGTCCTCCTTAAAGGACTGACTGTCACGTGGTAGATACATGTTTACTAAATGAAAGATCTAGAAATCATGTGCTTAATGCTAGAGTTTCACATCTATTCATTTACTTCTCTGGACTTTTTTTTGGAGAAACATGATAACATGTTTGTTTAGGAATTGTGTGTTGGTGACAAAATGGAAGGACTGAATTTCACTATAGGAAAGTTTACAGAACATTTTCTTTGTTTTTGCCAACAATAAACAGTTGGAATTTTAACATTATATTTACTATCTGATTTTTTATGTTGATGTGGCATTAATATAAGGAGAACAGAGTCAGGATAGGTCACAGAATTCTGAGAATGTGATATCTTCTCCCTCCCCTCTATTTCTTACTTTCAGAGAACGCTGTCATATTCCTGCCTGGACTGTAAGCATATGACTGAGGGACTTTGCCTTACTTATGCATAACCTTGCTTACACTTATTTCTTTAGGAATAGAGGACTATTGAGACAGACTATATAACCTCCGCATTTGGGTTTTTCTGTGGCCTGCAGCATTGAGCTCAATAGAAAACAGGAGTTGAGTTTGAAAGAAACTGTCAACTCTTTGCAAAGACCCTAGTATTCTTTGTAGGGCTCTTTGATGACGAACAGCAGAAATTATCTACGTTACTAAGTTACCCAGATGACTTAGCAATAAGAAATGTATTGGAAATATACGGACAAGCATGGAGAATCAGCAGAAAGACCAGAGCAGCAGCTGTGAGGAGGGTCAGCAGCTACCTGCATTCTTGAGGCGTGCTACACTTGGTAGGTTAGGATAGATCAGGTCAGTGCTCCGAGCATTGACTCCGGAAGTTGCCGACTGTACTCTCTGTACGTGTTTTGTGTTCTGGGGAGAGGGCTGTACTCTGCCTTCGATCACTTCTGAATCAGTTTTGGAAAGGGCACTTTGCATTGACACTGCTGCTTGGTCCTCCCAGCAGTGGGAGGCAGACCTCTGTTACTGAAGGAATGAGGTACTAGTCACCGGCAAGTAAGAACCACTAAGCTGCCCCCGAGCACCTCGTGTGCTTTGTGGGAACATGACATACCTTAGAAGTCTGCTCTGCTCTTCTCCTTCTTGACCAGTTCTTGTGCAGGGAGGATTTCAGTTACATCAATAATTTACAAACAAGTGAAGCCCAGCACCAAAAGTTATTTTAAATGGGTCGGGGTGGTGGCTCACTTTTACACGGACGGGGTAGACCAATCTGCTGTGGGGCAAGCACACCTGAGGATAGAGTTACTGAAGTCCTGAAGGGAGTGATCCGGGGTGCTGGCCTTGATGCTCCTGTGTGCCTGCTAGTTTAAAAGCCTCAGTCTGAGTGGCTGTCAGTTGGAAGACCTTAATGAGCCCTCATTACACTAACACTGGTGGTCTGGGAGAGGAGGGCCAGGCTTAGCATTGATATTGGAAATCCTAAGTGATGATGGGTCAGAATTGGAATTGACACGTAATTCACTTAGCTGTGGAGTAAAATCCAAGACCACATACCAAGTCTAGTTATTTCATTTTCCTAGCCGTTACCTTTTATGTGTAAAATATGCTTTAATTTATGTTAAGACTGTAACACTTTAGAAAGAAGAGGGAAATCACAATTTTGCCAGCTGACATATTAAGGATTTTTTTTTTTAAACCTGAGATGGGGACTCATTAAATTCTGAAATCCTTAAACACTCTTGAGATTTTACTGTATAATTCATTTCAATTGTAGAAGAAATTTCTGGTTTTATTTTCCTTACACAAACCCCATTTTACTGTTTTTTTTTTAAGTATGACAGTTAAAAATTGCAGGATCATGGGAAATCCTAGAAATGCTAATTTATTACTATGTTATAAAAATGCAACTGTTGGAAGTTTTAACCTCATTTTAATTTGTGTATATGAAAACACTGTCATTTCAGGTTACGATTGTGTGTGTGTGTATAGTTAATCTCATCTAATCCTAAAAAGTAATCAAACAAGCCTGCATCACCTCCCGTTACGGGTGAGGCACCGCGGGTTCACCTCCCTTTGGTTTACTGCATGGTATGTGGTGGAGCACTTAGTGAGGACCAACCCCTGTTCTGTGCGTTATAGTGCAAGGTAATATTGCCAGCCCTGGGTGGGATCTGAACAAAAAGCAATGGGGCATTTCTTTTCCCAGAGCCTATCTGTTTACTGGTAGTTCCCTGACAAGCTCTTTATGTTCTGGAACTACCAAAATGTGTTCTGTTATCCATCATCTTGTGCTTCTGTTGCTGTGAGTGTGGCAACAGCTCCTCTACGGCAACGCTGTGTCCTGGCAAGTCTTTTGTCCTTCGTGTCCTAGTGAAGCCTGACAGCCTTTCATGTTGCATTCAGCGAGACTGCTTTCCATTGAACAGAGCCGAACGTTGCTTTCTAGGTGAAAAATAATTAAATGCTTTTAAAGATGTATTTGATTAACAGGAAGCTGATCTGTGTAAATTAATTGTAACTGTAATGATGTCATAGCCTTGTCTTTTGTTATTAACCAGGTAATTGACCAGAAGTTTAGAAGCTTATTGTGACTGACAGTTAGGAGTTTGACCTTGCATGCTGTCTGGAAGGGAAACATGCAGAATGAATGTAAATGTGTTTTGCTCATTGAGCTGTGTGCTGTCAGGATGTCTGATCTTAGGTTCTGATTCTTATTCTTCCATTGCTTTGTGGAAGTCGGTGATCAGGTTTATATACTTAGACCAAATGCTTGCTGCTTCTGCTTTTAGTCGTCTACGTCCTTGAATCACTAATCAGATGTGATGCCTTGGCACATTTAGCAATGCAAATAAACAAATGCCAAACCAAGATGAATCTTGTTTGTAAAGTCGGTATGAAGGAAATTAAGAAAAAATTTCTATACTAAAGTCATAAAAAAAGGAAAAACAGGGGTGGTTTAATAGGTTGGGAGAGAGTTTATCCTTTCTGGACCCGTTTGTGTGAGAAAGTTGAAGGCGTCAGGTGTCTTGAATAGAAGAAGGACGAGGACCTTTAACTTTGGTAAGTGTAGTTGAAGGCTGCGAGAGTGAAGGTAAGCTAATCACGATGAGTAATTGACAGCTCCCAGGTCGAGGCCGGCCTTCTTCTGTACACTCTATACCTGTGGAAGAGTCAGCCCTAATAAGAGGTGTCATGCACGTGCCTGGAAACCATCACACTGCATAATATGATGGTTTCACCTCAGGGAGACCAGAGCTTTTGGGCAAACACTATGAAAAGCATAGCACCTTTCTGTCAGTGGCACATACAATTATTTTTTTTTAAGTATTTGAAGCTAGTAGCATGGTGACACAGTTTTACACATGTGAAATGGTTAAGTAATGCGTGACTACTACATTAAAAATGGCACGTCACCCTCACAAAGTTTAGACATTTGCTTGGGAAAGTGGCTGTCAGAGCAACTGCAGCTAGTGAATCATTGCCAACTGGCGGAAGGAGGTTTGTCTGAAATTGGGCAGGAAGATGTAATTGCAGGTGTGGGTGGAGGTAGCTCAAATTGTCTGCGCTGATCTGACGATGCAGGCAGATATTTGAAGAGTACATATTTTTCCATACACGTGAGATTTGAAACTTGTGTTATGCTCAAATTGTTCCCTAATATGAGTTGCATTTGAACAAATTTGTTTATTTGGGAATTGGAATTCTAGCAACACTACCCAGACTAAAATACACTTTCCCCAATAGCACTGCATGTTCATGCCTTAACGCCAGCCGTACATGAATCTTCCTCTCTATAAAACTCCTTCCCTTTTCTACACTTTCTGTCTTTTTAAAGCCGGGTTTGGGTGATAAAGTTTTCCCAAGAGCTTCTCTAAATTGCCCTGACTTCATTTTTCTGTATTGACACATTTTTGTAAAGAACTTACCCATTTCTGAAAAAAAAGTTTTACATTATATAAAACACGACTTGTAGTAAAGGGATAAACACCTAAATCCAAGTGACTGGCTAGCTCGGGGCAGAAAAAAGCACTTCCATTTGGTAACTGAGCCTGTTTATGAAGTTCTGACGCGGCTGACACGAGAAACAGTAAGTCTGACTGGTGCTTAAACAACCTTCAAATGATTCTTCGGGTGAGACCTGTATCAAAACCTCCAGTAAAATAAAGGTGCATTTCTGCAGAGGTCATTCTTCAAAGACGAGGTCATGAGAACTGACCACTTGGCTTGTGGTGATCTGACAAAGGGCTGGAAGTTTGGGTGGTAATCCTGTGTATCAGTAGTTCTTGGAAGAGACGCAGTTTCCGCCTCTCCGTGGTTTCCTGCTCAGATCAGGCAGTGCTCAGAGGGTGATATGATAGGTGCCCAACCTCCCCCCGCCTCTGCAGTGGGAACGCTGGCCTGGCCGGAGGGCTAGCCTGCTCCATACCGGACTGCAACTGCACAAAGTCCAAGAAAGCCTGTTCTTCAGCTTCTCTTGTGGAGCATATCTGATAAGACGAGGAAAATGACACGTTGTCATTACCCTTTGTTTTGCACTTCCTTGGTGTGTCTGGCTACTCCTCCACCAGGTGGAATGGTTATATTCCCTGTTGGAAGTACACAGATCTGAATCCCGGCTTTGCCCCTGGTTTCAGCTTCCTGTCGGTGGGGACTCTAGGAGGCAGTGGGTGATGGCCCGAGTCATTGGGTCCATGCCGCTCGTGTAGGAGGACACTGGCTTGTGCCTGGCCAGTCCTGGATGTCATGGACAGTTGGGCAATAAGCTGTGGGAAGGAGCCCCCTCTGCCCTCCCCCGCTTTTTCCTCTACCTCATTTCACTCCCTCTGCCTTTCAAATATGTAAATAAAAATTTAACGATTCTTTTTTTGCAGACTGAGCCACATTTTACTTTGACAGCAGTGACTCTGGACCTAGGTCATTTTGACTAAAAATCCCTGCTGTCTATAGAATGGGCAGTAATAACTGTGTCATGAAGTTCAGAGAATGAGTGGGAAAATTGTACCCTTAAAGGAGCATCACCACGTGAAGCTAAGAGTGTAAGTTTGTAATTATAATGTGACTTTTAAAAAAAAATTCTGTCTTACTTTGATGATTTATTTGAAAGGCAAAACTACAGAAAAGATCTTCCATCTCTTAGTTTAGTCACCGAATAAATACAATAGCCAAGGCTGAACAAGACATAGGAGCCTGGAATTTCATTTAGGTCTCCCTCATGGGTGGCAGTGGCTGAGAATGTGGCCGTCCTTGTGGGCTTCCCGAGGACATTAGCAGGACACAGGACCCTGCATCAGAAGCAGAGAACCTGGGACCTGAATAACAGTGCTCTGTGGGATACCAGCATCACAAGTGGTAAATCCACCTGCTGAGCCACAGCTCCAGCACCTAGAGCTCTAATTTAGAACAATCAGACTGTAGTTAATATCTTTCAGTATTTAAAACCATAGATATGATTGAGTGACCATTTATCATGGGCCTGGTATTATTCTAAGAACTTTATTGTCTTAAGCCAAGGGTGGGGAACATCTTACCTGTGGGCTGTATAAGGTTTGTGAAATCACTGGGCTTGTCTGCCAAGGCAAGTATTGGTTGCATCCAGAATTTAGCTAATGTGTAGCAGGCTAATTTTGAAGTTTTAGTATGGCTGACAAATAATTTTGTAAATATCTAAATGATGCTTGGCAGAAAAATGATTATTCATTGTTGTAAGCCATTTAGTTTTTACAACACCTCTGGAATTGATTTAACTATTATTACCTCATTTTGTGTAACAGACAACTGAGGCCTAGGTTAAAGGACTCGCACAAGGTCACACAACTTTTAACAGCACCAACTGACGTGCCAGAGTGTGTGCTGTCAGACCCCAGTGTATACCTGCAAGTTCTCTGATGACATCTGGTTGGCGCTGCTGGAAGAGGCAATCCTGCAAGCATTTGAAAGATGAGTCAGTGGTGACATGGCCAGGAAGTCTGTGAGCACAGAGGCAGGGCAGGAGGTGGAGGGCATATGAGGGCATATGTCCTGGCACAGGACGGGGAATGCTGGTGGTTGTTCCCGCTGAGGCCTGTCCATGCCCACTGCCCTTGGAGTGTTTCCAGAGCCTATTGCCCACAGTCTCTGCAGTTCTTTGTTTAATTTATTTTTTTAAAGACTTAATTTATCACTTGTATTGCAAAGGCAGATATACAGAGAGAAAGATCTTCCTTCTGCTGGTTCACACCCTCCCTCCCACCCTCCAAGCGGCTGCTACATTCGCAGCTGAGCTAATCTGAAGCCAGGAGCCCGGAGCCTCTTCCTTGTCTCCCATATGGGTACAGGGTCTCAAGGCCTTGGGCTGTCCTTGACTGCTTTCCTAGGCCACAGCAGGATGGGAAGGGAGGAGCTGGGATATGAGCCGGCACCCATATGGGATCCCAGTGCGCGCAAAGTGAGGACTTTAGCCACTAGGCTTCCATACCGGGCCCTATTTTTATTTTTATTTTTATTTTTATTTTTATTTTTGATGTTTATATAGTTGATCAGGGTGGGAAGGATCAAGGGTTGGGGAAGTGGGTGAGATCATTGTTTCCAAATTTTCTTTTTCTTCTTCCTATATCTGTGGGAAGGGGGTGATAAGGGGAGAAGTCACACCCAGCCTCCAACCTGCCCATTACCCATGGGAAACAGCTCTCTGATATCAGTCCAGGGTCCCCGATGTGAAGCATCTTCTGCGGGTTCTGCTTAAGTGGTTTCAGTAGTTCTGAAGTGCTGTCAATCTCGCCAATCCAGTAATGAGGAAATCCTTCCAATGTCTATTGGCTGACACAGTCCACCTTAGCATCTCCGTTTGCCCAGATATTTGCTGTCATTGCTTGATTGTGGTAGTTGTCCAATTTATTCTGCCCTCCTTCCTCTACTGTGGTACCAGATGTCCTCTGCAGGCCCCAATGACCTGTCATATCCTCCATGTGCTTGCCATCTGGGTCTGTCAGAGCCACTGAGGAGGTCCAGTTCTGACACATGCATTTCACAATCAGACCACCAATCCTAGATGTGAGCCCTCACGTCCCTGCACACCCCCACTTGTGTCATCTCCCAGACCCCCTGCAAGCCCAAATACCATGCCTCTGCAAGCACGCTGCTGGACAGCCAGTGGGCCTTTCCCCGTGCCACCACCACCCTGGGCCTTGCCGGAACCCTCACTACTGGGGCTCGTGGACCTGGCACCCACCATACAGACGGGCCTAAAGACCCAGACTGGAATATCTGGGTCCTGCTGCACCCCCTGTCTCCAGGGCTCACATACCCAGCACCCCCTCACGACCCCCCGCAACACACATATCTTTAGAATAAAAAATGGACTAGGTGACTGTGCTGGCACATTGGTATGATTAACACAGATTTGGCATTAACCACACCCAGAATGCCCACCAGCTATTCCTGCTTTTCTTCTGACAGAGTAACAGTTACCTAGGTACAATGCAACCTAGCCATTTGCCCACAGCTGGATTGTTCATTTTCTCTCTTCTCTCTGCCTCTTTCCTTTCCCCTCCCTTCCCCTCACTGAACACTCCCAACCCCAGGGTTTGTGTGTGCCAGTGGGTCGGGGGCTAGGCTATTTAACCCAGCCTAGTTTTCCCACTTGGGCTGGTGCCTTGGCCTGACCCAGACATGCCCTCCAGGGTCCCCCCTCTAAACCACTCTGTCTTAGCTCCCTCACCTATCTGTGAGTGCAGCAACTGGGCCTATGGAAGACCCCAGAAATCATTCCTCCCTTGTCAAAAATATCTTCAGCCACTCCCACTCCAGTATGTCCCTAGACCCCTTCCCCAGGGTGATTTACAGACCCCCTCCCCCACCTAGGACCTGGGATGGAGTGCGCTGGCCAGACATTCCCTGCCTTCCTCACTTTTTTGTAAGATTTATTTTTATTGGAAAGTCAGTCTTACAGAGAAAGATTTTTCATTCGCTGATTCATTCCCCAAGTGATGGCTGGAGCTGAGCTGATCTGAAGCCAGGAATCAGAAGCTTCTTCCAGGTCTCCCACATGAGTGCAGGGTCCCAAGGCTTTGGGTTATCCTCCACTGCTTTCCCAGGCCACAGGCATTGGGGCTGTATGGGAAGTGGAGCAGCTGGGACATGAACTAGCAATGATATGGGATCTCAGTGCATGCAAGGGGAGGATTTAACCACTAGGCTATCACGCAGGGGCCCTTCCTCACATATCTTAAAAAATAGAATAGGCAACTATGCTGGCACACTGGTGTAGTTAACACAAATTTGGCATTAACCAGGTGCAAAATGCCTGCCAAATATTGGCTGCTTTTCTCCCAGCTGTGTAACACTTGCTTAGGAACAAGGCAACTTGGTAGTTGCCTGCAGCTGGGTTTTTGTTTTTTACTTTCGAATGCTTTCTCTGACCCTTGTAGTCCTTGGTGTACTTTGGCAAGGTGGAAGTGAGAGGGAGTTAGCCCTTTGCAGGGAAGGCACTGAGGCCTGCCTGTATCTGTGCCAATTCATACAGTGCTATTAAGTTCCAGGTAGCCACAGTGATGGCTGTACTGATAATACATAAACTTTTTCTGCCTTGCCTTCTCTGTTTTACTTTCCTCTTCCTCTGTCAGTGCATTGATCACCTCCCAGATAAATGACTTCCTTTGATTTAGCATCTGCTTCTGGGTCGAGCTCAAACTCTTAACAGTAATGCACAATAATGTCAGCAGCAAAGTGTTCATGAAGAGAACGTTAATGAAGTTCTGTTCCTCATCATTCTATAGATAGAGAAACAGAAATGAGTTGAGGTCATTTGCCCAAGTAGCTAAAATAACTTACACTTTAGCCAGATGGAGTGGAGTTAAAGAGTGATTTGATCCAACACAGCCTCCTTAACCATCACTTGGCATTGAGTTCACAAGCAAAGGCAAACACAATCCTGGTGGGGCAACAGGAATAGATGAGTAACAAATAAGGCTGTTTACTCCATGTTTTGAGTTTAGTTTCTGGGGAATCAGAAATGACTTTGAATAAAGGAAGGGTCTCTTGTTCTGCTTAAGCTTTCAACTGCTCCCCTCCACCCTCCCCCCCCCCCTTTTTTTTTTAGCAGTTAGTTGGGTTGGATTTATGAAATAAGAATATCCCCCTCCAATCTGTGCTGTTAAATGTCAGGGAGATACAGACGGGAGCAAGCCCTTGCCCCCTTCCAGGTTGGTGTCACCTTCATCTTTCAGGTGGATATACACGACTTGTGGTTGGTGTCTGTAGAGTAGAAGTTCTTTGTACCATGCCCTTCTTGTGCAATCTAATCCCTGGGAAATCCAGGACAAGGTCATTAAAGAAGTACTGTGCCAGTGTATGGTTTTTTGAATACCCTCCCTAAAACGTGTAACAGTATATGAATAAAAATGTCTGTATTCATTAAAGATCACCTGTAGGCTGCAGACACTTCTGTTGTAATTCCTCGGTGGCCATGAGGGACGAGGGAATAGTTATATACTGTTTTAATTGCACACTCTCTCCCTCCCTTCCTTCATCCCTCCCTCCCTCCCTTCCTTCCTTTTTCCTTTCCCCCTTCCTTTCCTTTTTTCTTCCCTTCCCTTCCCTCTTTCCTTCTTTGCTTTTATAAAAAGATTGTTGTATTGATTTGAAAGTCATAGTTACACAGAAAGAAGAAAGTGGAGAGAGAACATGAAAGCATGCGATTGAGAAATAGCATGACAACTTGCATTAAGAAGTTCTGCAATGTCCAGGGCTGGACCAGACCAAAGCTGTCTCAGGGTTCGGGTTGGAGGAAGTTTCCGTCTTCTGATTAGACTTAAGTTTCTTGAGCTTGGTGAGTAGCAAAGAAGTCCCATGATCAACTCGCTCTGAGGAAGTGGCCGTTGAGGGTGTTGAAATTCTTGCCCACCCTGACCGCGGAGCTGGGAACCAACTCAGGATGGGCATCAGGCAAAATCAGAGAAGGAAGCAACACCTGCTGCGGCAGTAGTCGCTCCAGTGTTTTGTATCCCTTTACATTTTTATTTTTATTTATTTGAAAGAAGTACTCAGGGTCGTGAATTTT